TATATATATATATATATGTATATATATATTCAGGTATATAAATCATAGCTGTGAACCAAATGGAGAATCATTGTTATTATTTGGAGGAAATGTTCGAATTTATTGTCTAAGAAATATAATACCCAATGAAGAAATCTTCTATGATTATCAGTATGTACTTCTTCTTCTTCTTCTTCTTCTTCTTCTTCTTCTTCTCCTTCTTCTTCTTCTTCTTATTCTTCTTCTTCTTCTTCTTCTTCTCCTCCTCCTCCTCCTGCTGATGCTGCTGATGCTGATGGTGGTGATGCTCGTGGTCGTGGGGATGAGAATGGTGGTGATGATGGTGTCTCTTTCTTGCATCTGTTTATGTACGCTGTACATATATAACTGTACATACATCTCTGCTGCTGCTGCTGCTGCTGCTGCTGCTGCTGCTATTGCTGCTGCTGTTGTTGCTGCTGTTGCTGCTGTTGCTGCTGCAGCTTATCGGATTCTTCTAAGGAGGTTTGTCTTTGTGAAGCAAAGACATGCACAGGAAGCATGTAACAACAACCAGACACAATGTCTCTCCTGTCTCCTTCGCCACCAGCAGCAGCAGCAGCAGCAGCAGCAGCTGCTGCTGCTGCTGCTGCTGCTGCTGCTGCTGCTGCTGCTGTTTGTGCCTTTTTTTTTCCTGTTTACTGCAACTTCTCGTTCAGTTGCATCGCGCTTGACTAGGCAACAACTAAACAGCTAGCTATATAGCTAGCTAGCTAGCTAGCTAGCTAGCTATGCAACTAGCTAGCCAAGTGGCTAGCTAGCTAACTATCTGACCAGTTAGCTAGCTAAGCAGCTAGCTAGCTACTTATATGCTGGCTAGCTAGCTAGCCATGACTGTCCAACTATCTGCTAAGTCCTTCTTGGGCGTTGGTACATTACCCTACGGTGTGCGCCAGCAGCAGCAGCAGCAGCAGCAGCAGCAGCAACAACAGCAGCAGCAAGAAGAACAGCAGTAGTAGTACGTATTGTTTTTATTTGTTTGCTTATGCAAAGGAAAGGAGACAGTCCCTCCCTACCCATAAAAAAAAAGGATGATCGGCGTTTTTGCTGCTGCTGCTGCTGCTGCTGCTGCAGGGTTTGCCCTCCCACCAGCAGCAGCAACAGTAACAGCAACAGCAACAGGAGCAGCAGGAAATTAATGTTTATTATGTTTATTGTTATTATTTTTTCCTACAAGTTTCATGTCTGCATGCACAGGCTGAGCAACAGCAGCTAATGTTGCCTCTATCTTTGTTACTCCTACAGCCTTTGCTGGCTGCAGCACACACACAGCAGCAGCAGCAGCAGAAGCAGCAGCAATTAGACAAGCAGCAGCAGCAATAGCAGCAGCAGCAGCAGCAGCGGGAGCAATAGTTGAGGCAGAAGAACCCAGAATGTACACATCCTGCTGTGTCAGCAGCAGCAACAGCAGCACCATCACCATCAACAACAACAGCAGTAACAGGAGCAGCAGCAGCAACAACAACAACAACAACAACAGCAGCAGCAGCAGCAGCAGGTTACATTTCTGAGTATTCTTTGTAGTTTATCTTTCGTTGCTGTCTTTGGCTTCTGCGGTTTATTCTTTCTTGTTGCTGCAGCAACAGATTTTACCTTCTTCTTAGGGGGACACTGCACCATTGCTGCTGCTGCTGCTGCTGCTGTTGCTGCTGCTGCTGTTGTTGTTGTTGCTGCTGCTGTTTCTGGTGCTGTTGATGCTGCTCTTCCTGCTGCTCTTGAAGCTCCTACTGGATGAGGTATAGGCGACCTGCTGCATGCATGCGCTGCTGCTGCTGCTGCTGTTACGGAGGGAAGCGCCCTCCGTCTATTCTTTATAATAAAAAAAATAATATATTTATTTATTTATTTATTTAATGTTGTTGTTGCTGCTGCAGAAATAGCAGCAGCTGCAGCAGCTGCAGCCCCACAGCAGCACGAGCAGCAGCTCGAGGGTCGGTGGTCCGTTCCTTTGGGACTGCTGCTGCATGCAAACAGCAGCAGCAGCAGCAAATGATGTTAGATGCAGCAGCAAATAAATAGACATTATCTAACCTCAGGTGTATCTGCAGCTCAGCAGCAGCAGCAGAGTCGGTCCGCTGCAGCCGACCTGCTGCTGCAGGCACAACAGCAACAGCAGCAGCAAGAGCAGCAACGAGAACAACAACAGCAACAGCAGCAGCGGGGGGAACGACAGCAGAAACAGCAGTAACACCGACAGCAGCAGCAGCAGCGCCAAGCCATGCCTCACTCCTGCTGTCCTGCTTAGCGTGAGCAGCAGCAACAGGAGCAGCAACAACAACAGCAGCAGCAGCAGCAGGAGCAAACTTGAGGCATAATGACGTCCACCGCTGCTGCATCTCCCTACGCTGCTGCGCCCAACGGCAGCAGCAGCAGCAGCAGCAGCAGCAACAGCAGCAATGCTTTTGCTTCTTCATCCCCAACGCCACCTCCTGCTGCTGCATCTAGCTCCCCCTGCGGCAAGCCCGACCCCACCACCAGCAAC